CATTGTGCGTTTTGTTCCATTAAAAATTACCTACTATATACTTTGATTTGAAAGATGACAACATGAATACTTTAGATCTATTTATGTACCATCAAATGTTATGATTAGATGCATATGTTTTCAGATCCACCCATAAGCTGTCTGTTATTCATCTGGTTAAAGGACTGTGGAAACACTGATATTTCAGAGCAGATGTTGACTCAGAACAGACCCATGTCCTCTCTTAGATCCGCTATTTCTACTGCTTTCTACCTGCTTTCATAAGCACTCCTCTATATTGCAGCTTAAACATGTTATTAACATCTCAGCATGTGTATTTTCATAACTTGGTGCATCACTTGGTGTGTACATATGACATTTTCCTTTATTTGGACTGCCTACCCACCAGTGTGCTGGGTATATATTATATCTTTGCACAATAAGGCCAGTTATCAGGATTAAAAGATGCACTTATCAAGCTTCTAGTTTCTTCAAGATCTAATGCTTTTCTTTATTGTTCTTTCATTCCTGCCTATTAAAATGTCAAATTTAAGTGGCCATATTATGTATAGAATGATAAGACATCTTTGTGAGACCAGGACGTTGTTGTGAAATGCCGCAGTGTTGTGGAGTCTCGTCAGTGTTGGAGAAACATCCAGCCCTTATTCAGGACCACAATGATGTGGCTTCAACTGCTAATGAACGGGCTGTGGGTTGGCATGATCTCATAGTTGGCTCAGGCTTAGGTTGGAGTTTTCTGGCCCCCAAGGAAACAGTGGTACAGCACCAACAATCTTCTCATCCCCTTTTTATTGCTTTAAAACTTGCTTCCTCTGTAGCCCACATATGGCCTACCTAATGTGCTCTTTTCACAATTCACGAACTGAAATTTATTTATATTGATTTTAATTGATTGATTTAGATTTGAATGATTAGCCCTAATTATTCTATATTTTGTATGTACATAAATAATGTTAGGCTAATTTGATTGCATATGCAGCTTCATTTATGTCTTTTATCAAGTTATAGACTGCTATCTTATTGTGCTAGTTATTAGACATTACTATTTTTGAGTTCTGTGAATCAGTATTGCCAGTATAATAGTTAAAATCAGAAATGGTCCATGCAAATGAGGCATAAAAGCACAACATGCACTCCTGCACTCCTTTACCCAGGTGGCTGTCTGAGATTCAGTGACACATCCGTGATAAAAGAGGCTTTAATATGCTTAACAGCAGAATCATTCAGCATTGCCAAATCACAGGACTAGGATTACAAGAAGAAACTAGGGCATTCGCTTCTTGTGTAGATGCAACAGGGAGCGTCAAGAGTCCGAAGAAATATTGGGCAGCTTGTGTTAGTGTTGTTTTAGGGCTTTATAGAGTGTATAGAGCACTTAAATCATGTACAGTGGCAGAAATTGCTCATCTGCAGGAATGATGGCGCCTAGCGGTGTAATTTATAAAAATCTGAGTATTACTTTAATGGATTTTTTAAGTTTCCTATCATACTTCTCTCAACCAGAGCACTGGACTAAGACTGGATTGATTAAACATTTATGGGATTACAATAAGTCCCTCAAAAGTAACATTAATTCCCTCCATTCTGAAAAGCTAGTTAGCTACAGTACTTTAGATAACAACAAACACCTGTGGTGCTTCATGCTTAATGAAAGTTCATCTTGCATTTTAAATAAAAAGAAATGCCATAACATTGCACAACCTCTGTGTCAGCTGTACATGAAATGGGAATTAAATGGCTTATTCCACTGGGACAAACAGATTTAGTGTTGCTAATACAGTGCACTACAGCAAGATGTGCCGTTCACAAGGTTATCTGCTTCCAAAAGCACACAAGACGGTGACATGAGTGACTGTTTTAGATGCTCAGATGAGGCGATTCTGTTCCCAAACTTCCACAGGCCTCAATCTCTTGGGTGACCATATCTAGAGCAAAATATCTGGAGCAGCGCTGATGCTTGGTCTGTCTTCTACCATTGCACTGTTTGAGCTTATTTTAACAGAGTGCTCTCATTTTTGAAGTTCATGAGCAGATATTTATATCAAGCAGGTCAGGTGAGGTAGGACTGGATCTCTACACTGAGACCTTCTTAAAAATGACTTAGTGTTTTACGATGCTAATGTGATTAAGGTGTTTGTGCTATAAAAATGGTCATTAATTAATAATCCGTGGTTATGAAATTGCTTGTTCTTTAACGGATTCACTGGATACCTTGGACTTGGACTACTGTTACAATGCTACATTCTTTCCCATTCTTTAGCGACTGTGGAAAATTTCCAAAGGGAGTAGTGGAAACTGGAAGCTGGCTGAACACACCGCTCTGCAAACTGTTTATTTAAAATGGCAAAGGAGTTTTGTGGTTTTTAAGCCCATTTGAAAATGTACAGTCTTTCTTTTCCAGAAAAAAATTAAAATGAATAAAAATGTATGACTCATCCTGCATTACAATTTATACTGTCCAATCAAATACTCTCTAGGATGAGTACCTAGAGAGTGAGAGGTGAGAGTGGGTGGGTGAGAATGTCCCACCCCCCAATGCCATATGTGAGAAGCAAATCATGGTTCATGGTTCTGATGTAACTAAAGCCTAACTGATTATTTTTAAAAAGTGATGAACCCTTTGCGTCCTGCCAAATATTCCTGTTTCAATACAAAATATGTCAATACAGGAATTATTATTTTTAAGCTAATTATAATATAAATGCCACTGAATAAATTTATTTTTGTTAACAGGTTTGTAAAAACTCTTCTGGAATTATTATTATATATTTTTTTATAAATGAAATTAAATGTAACATTTTTATTAATTTGTTATTTTTCTTATTCCTCCAACATTTTTTTCAGCTAATTCTGACTGTCTAGACAGAGTTTAAAAAATGTCATTTTTATCACCGACATTTGTTAATTCTCAGAGTTCTGCCTCTTCCTAAGATTTTCATCAAACAACAACAAAGCACACAATGCATTCATTACAAAGCCAATAGACCCATGTAGCTCTGGGCATTGTGCCTAAGGGAGAGCAACTGCAGTGCCTGAGACTTTCATACCTCCCTCTTTTCTTTGTACTTTGTCACTTTGCAAAGGGCAGCAGGGTCGGAGCTACTAGTTTCCGTGGCAGCCCGTATTATTTGAATTCAGTGCGTCCTGGTGAAATCTGTCTTACCAGTCTTCACATATGTTGTACTTTCACTTCTGTACTTCCTTCTCATACCATCTGGCTCATAGAAGCAAGGCTGGGCTTAGGCCAGCTTGGTCCAAACCCCAGTCGTGCTGCGTTCAGCAGCTCTTTGATTATCCCACTAATTCCTCAATACACCCTGCCCTTATAACATTCTTTATATAACTGAAAACACAGGATAAATGTGTTTGGACTCGACTTTTGAGATGATATAAAGACTTGTGTTGCATTTGTGTCATGTGATTTTTTTTCTTATTAGCCTGGATATCCTCTTATCGTAAATTACACTTAAAACTCTAAACCCCTTACTTGTGACTGTAATCCAAACATACATGATGTCTCATTAACAGGATTCTTGCAGGACTGTCCTTGAAATACATTGCACTAAGGTTGTCGTTTAGCTGTGAATATGCTGTTCTGTACATCTTGGGAGTCCTTTTCTAAATGAATGAATATTGATGTGAGTGATAGCTATGCCTTTCAGTGTTACTCCTGCTGCAGGGGCATTCAAACAGTAATCAATCATATGGCTGCTATAATTGACTTTCAAATGAACAAATCAATGCAATGTTGTTAAGGAACATGCTTTAAAGGATTACGCTCTGGCTACTGTGCATTTCAGTGAGTTATGGTAGCATTTAGCCCTATTCCCGAATAAGTTTTCCTAAATCATTTAGATGAGTGTTTCCTTTTTTTCAGAAGACTGGTCTGGCATAAAGTTTGGGGGAACAACTAATTAAGTAGCTAAACTTTTCTAGTAAAGTAGCAAACCTTTTCTAGTGAAGCTATTACCAACAGTCATATTGTATTTTGAATGTCAAATTGTATTGCACATGCAAATTCATCGCCAAGTGAGCTCTTTCTCAAATGTAGTACTGGAAAGCCTGATTTGTTCTACTAAATCATTTCATCCTAAACAACTTTCACTCATATGTAGCGCTGGAAGGTCTGGTTCATTGTAGTAAATTGGTTCGTCCTGAAGTGTGATTCATTTTAGTGAATCGGTTCATCTTGAAGTGTGAATCAGTTATTTATTCAGGTGAATCAGTTCAGGCAGTACATGAACAGAATAAAAAAAAATTAATTCTAAATCAAATTCTTTCATATCGTTCCAAGCTTCTTTATAACAGCATATTTAGTTTCTTACTGTGTTTTTGATTAAATTATATACTAGATTAAGTTATAACTAAGGAACATTCTTATTTTATTATTATATTTATTGTACATTTATTAAATCAAATTTGATGTTATCACCCTATTTATCCATTCATTCAAACTTTCATTGTTTTTGTGTAAGAAAAGTACAGCTCTGATTAAATTATAATCATTACATTTTATATTGTATAGTTATACATTTAAAAAAGATTTTGCTCTTCATTGTAGTTAGTAGTTCTGCTAACTACTATTACAAAAGATTAGCTTGAATGTAGTTTAACTACTTCAAATTATTGTAGCAGTAGCTTAACACTTTTTGAAAAGCCATTAGAAAGCACAGTCATTTCTCTTAAAGGGATAGTTCACCCAAAAATGAAAATTCTGTCATTAATTACTCACCCTCATGTCGTTTCAAACCCGTAAGACCTTTGTTCATCTTCGGAACACAAATGAAGATATTTTTGATGGAATCTGAGAGCTGTCTGACCCTGCATATTCTGTCTTTTCACTTTCTGTATGAGTTTCTTTCGTTACAGGATGACCTTCAACTAGTGTGTATCTTTATGCTGCATCTGTTTTAAATGATTTACAAATCGTAAATAGACTCAATGAGTGTAGTCGCAATAGATATTTGTAACTTAATATCAACGATATGTATTTCTTTCAGGTCAAAGGACTCTGCACCACAAAAGTGATGTTCTTGAAACGGTTGTATTGGTGAACCCATCAGAAGATACCGTTATCTCTGAGGTAAGTTATTTAAAGAAAAACTCTATGGACAAGATGCTGTATGTTTCTAATAAAGATAAATAATAGGTTTGATGTTAGACTGAATAACCTTGTTGAAGTATAACCTTGCTGCAAACAGACTGACTCTAATAGACTAATGTGTTTTAAATGCTCTTTTTGTCTCTTATTATGTCCTAGATCCATTGTCTTGTATCTGACCCTGCTGTGCACAAGCTACTGGTCCTGAGTGGGCAGAGTTCTGACCAAGGTGACCTGGTTCTCCAAACTGGAGTGTTCAGTCATCAAACCTTCTCACGTGTGTTTGCTGATCCTGGGGTAAGTTTAGATAATATAACTGTATTTAAATTGTGTATATATATATATATATATATATGTATGTGTGTGTATGTGTGTGTGTGTTTGTATATCTTGACTAATTTTGGACTTCTTTTCCTCACGTAGGTCAGTAATTTGCTGGTTAAAGCCAGCTCTGGACAGTGGGCATCACTGACTGTGTCTTGCCGTGGTGAGGCAGGCTGGAGCTCTCTGGGGCAACAGCAACGCATTAGGGAGTTGCTGAATTATAGGCTGAATCCAGAGCCCATACTCCCTAAGATGGAGGGAGTCACTGAGTTTACCGAATACATATCTGAGACTGTGGATGTACCATCCCCATTTGACCTTCTTGAGCCTCCAACCTCTGGAGGATTCCTAAAGCTGTCAAAGCCTTGCTGCTACATTTTTCCTGGTGGACGGGGGGATTCTGCACTTTTTGCCGTCAATGGTTTTAACATTCTGATTGATGGTGGCTCTGACAGAAGGTCATGCTTCTGGAAGCTTGTCAGACATTTAGATCGTATTGATTCTATCCTTCTTACCCATATTGGTGCTGATAATCTTCCTGGAATCAATGGACTACTTCAAAGGAAGGTTGCAGAACAGGAAGAAGAACAGTCTCAAGGCTCAACCACCTACAGTGATTGGATGAAGAACCTGATATCACCCGAGCTCGGAGTTGTGTTCTTCAATGTACCTGAGAAGCTTCGCACATCAGAATCGAATTTGAAAGTTAAGCGAAGCATTGAGGAAGCCTCTCTTACATTGCAATACCTCAACAAGCTAGGAATTAAGCCTGAGCCTCTTTTTCGAGTGGTTAGCAATACCATCGAGCCCATCACTCTTTTTCATAAGATGGGTGTGGGCAGGTTAGACATGTTTGTCCTGAACCCTGTTAAGGACAGTAAGGAAATGCAGTTCCTCATGCAGAAGTGGGCAGGTAACAGCAAGGCCAAGACAGGGATAGTGCTTCCCAATGGAAAAGAGGGAGAAATATCTGTCCCGTATTTGACATCTATTACTGCTCTCGTTGTATGGCTCCCTGCCAACCCTACAGAAAAAATCATCAGAGTTTTGTTCCCTGGAAATGCACCGCAGAACAAAATCCTTGAAGGGCTTGAAAAGTTGAAGCACCTTGATTTCTTGCGGTATCCGGTAGCCACCCAAAAAGACATTAATTCTGGCATTTCACCTTCAGCAGTAAAACAAACAAAGCTAAAGCAAAGAACTGACAGCAAAGAAAGTCTCAAATCATCTCCCAAGACTCAAGCACCAGCTAAGCCTTTTAAGAAAGAAACCGACGAGCATGAGGATGTATCCATTGTCGAAATGAAGAGTGACTCTGTCAACGAGAACAAAATTGAGAAAAAAGAAGAAAAGAAGCACACCAAGCCATTGAAACCAAAAACAGAAGTGACAGAAAAGAAAAAATTATTGAAGGAGAAATCACTGAAAAAACACCCCAAGGAAAGGGTGTCCAAAATGGATGAAAAGAAAGACAAAGAAAAGAGGGAAGTTAAGAAAGAAAAACGTGAAATTAAAAAAGATGATGCTGTGAAAAAAGATGAGAAAAAGGTTAAAACCAAGGACACTTTAAAACCTGAACTGAGAAAAATAACTAAACCTGACCTGAAACCTTTTACACCAGAGGTGAGGAAGACCCTCCACAAGGCCAAAACCCAAGGGAAACCCAAAACAATAAAGAGCAAACCTACAACTGCCAAGTTAGAGAGTGCAAGAATTGTGGCAGAACCAGTGGCTGAGAAGATTGAACCTGAGAAACCGGAGAATGGGACAAGAAAAGTAATATCTGCTCCATCTACTCCAGAAGATTTAACAAAAGACTTTGATGAAATGAGACCCACTGAAATGACAGATCACTCTGAAGCCCCTAAAAGTGCCCTTACTGTCTCCGGATTACCAGCTAAAAGAGATGATGATGTAGCAGAGGAGCAAGAACAAGATCATGTTACAGAAACCGATATTGTGGAACAAAAAGCTACAGAAAAAGAAGCAGCGCCATCAGCAGAAATCCAAGAGGTGCCGTCAGCAGAAGTGAAAGAACAACAGGATGAGCCCCAAACATCAGAATTAGAGAAATTTGAGGATGAGGGTGCTGCAATTGAAGATGAAGATGAGGAAGAGGTTGAGACACAGCCTGTTAGAAAGAAGATAGAGGAGGAGGAGGAAGACATGGGAATAGGAGATGAAGAGGATGAAGGGGCAATAAAGGAAACTAAAGACTTAGAGGGAGTGGACAGAAAACATGAAGTTGAGGAAATGGAGAAGCAAAAACAAGTGGAGGAAAGAAAGACTGAAGCTGAAGAGGAGCAGTTTGAAGAAGAGGATGTGATTGAAAAAGCTGAGCTAGAGGAGGCAGAGGATTTGGATGCCATTGCAGATGAAGAAATAAAAGATATCTCTGCTGAAAAAGTCAAGGAAGAAGAGGATGCATACTTGTCAAATGTTGGAGGTGTTACAGCTGGTATTACCTCTACAGCCCAAGGAGCTGCAGCAGCAGAAAACTTGTCATATATTCAGGATGAAACCATCCCAGGTTACTCTGAGACTGAACAGACCATCTCAGATGAGGAGATCCATGAAGAAGCAGAGGACAGGATACCACACCTTCAATATGAGGTTGGTAGCTATGACGTCTCGGTCCCAGACCAACCAGGCTCCTTTGATGCCATCCATGGAATGAGAGAAATGCAAGCCGCTGCAATGGGCAATGGAACAGGCAAAGTATTGATTGGTGCACAGGAGCCACCTATTTCCATCTACACCAGTATATTTGCAGCGCCATTAGCTGAAGAGGAACATGTTTCTTCAGCAACGTCTATAACGGAGTATGACAAACTGTCTTCTTTACCCACTTCCTTTGCAGAAGATCAGTCAGTGGCATCCGCCACAGCACCTCAGACAGAAGACACTGGAAAAAGTTCCCTAGTCTTGGACACAGTTCAACCGGTTACCCAGACTGAGGCCACCCAAGGAAAAGACTACCTACATTCAGCTGGAACCATCTCACCAACATCCTCCTTGGAGGAAGACAAGTGTTTCAAATCATCTCCCTCTGAGGAATCTCCACCACTTCCCTTAGAAGGCAAAACCGAGGGAATTGAGATGGCCGCCCATTACGGTGATGAAGAGGAGGATGAATATGAGGATAAAACACCAAATGTTGACATTTCACTTGGAAAGTTACAAGTAGCATATGCCTCACTTGATAAACTTGAACACAAGGAGAAAGAAATGGACAAACCCAAAAGTCCCGTGCCTTTAGCTCCTGATACTTCATCTGTTGAAAAATCCTCACCACCTGAGATGGAGAAGGTATCAGTATCACCTTCTAGGGAGGACTCATCTTTTGAAGCACAAACAATACTCTCCTCCCCATCGCACAGTGTTTCTAAGCTTCCCGTTACTGAAGCTAGTGTTTTTCCAGATGTGGAAGACCGATGCATTAGCCCTGATGACAGCACTGTAAAAATGGCTTCTCCTACACATTCTGGACCACCTAGTGCATCTCATTCTCCCCTCAGAATGTCACATGTGGAAGGGAAGGATAAAGTTCTCCTTAAAGAGACTCATCAAGAACCAGGAGTGCCACTTAGCCCCGCTGAAATTAAATCTGAAAAGGAGAGTGCAAAACAAAAACCTGGTGTTTTAGATGAGAAAGAAATACCTCAAGCAGAGGAGGAAGAAAAGAAGAGAATCCAGGAAGCAACCTCTGTACCATCTCCACTTGTTGATGACTTGCCAGCTAAAAAAGAAAGTCTACCAGTTCTACCATTAAAAGAAATAAGTGATACAAAGGCAATGCCTGATCCAAGTGTTGAGAAGAAGGGCAAAGTTGAAGAGGACTTAAAAGAGAGCAGCAAGGCTGTAATTCTTGAGGGTAAAGATAGCAAGTTATCTGATGATCATGACGTTGAAGAAACTTGTGATTTAAAATTGTCCACACATGAAGAGAAAAAAGAGGAGAAAGAAAAGGAGGGTGAGAGAGATGATGCTGAAGGGAAGCATAAGGAGAACGACCAATTATTAAAGTATGCAGAGGTTACAGATAAAGGTGATGTAATATCAGAACCAGAAAAAGCAGCATTGCCATCTAAAGAGGATTTTGATAAGAAAAATGCAAATGAAGAACAGTTTCAAGATAAGAGTTTTCCAGCAGTTCTGGAATGTTCCGAGATAGAAAAACAGGAGAAACAAGAAGAAGAAATTCAGTCAGAGAAAGCCAAAATATCGTCTAAATTAGACAAGGAATCCAAAGAGAAAGATCTGACTGATATATCCTGTCAGTCCATAGAAAGCCCAGACATCAAAGCAGAAACATCAACATCTCATGAATTAGCCAAAACATTTATGGAGACACAAGACACAGCAGAGACAGATATGACAACTAAACCGGAAAATACCTCTGAGCAGAAATCTGAATCAACTGATATTACACATGAACAGGTGGCTTTAGAGGAAACTGATTCATCCGTCTGTATAAGCCCATTTAAGGAAGACACAGATGGCCTCAAATCTCAAATACAACAGTTAAGTGAAAAAACAGATGTTACCTTTAAAGATGAAGAAAAGTTAGAAAGTAAAAGTGAGGCTGGACTGACATATGATAAAATGATTCCAGCTGCCAAAGAACATGAAGACTCTAGGGATACAAATGTAGAGAAAGTAAAATCTGTGATGCAAGAGCAAATTTCCCTCTCGAAACCAGATGTTCAGTCTACAGAGATGCATGTAGAAGTGTCTATTATGGAGAAGGATATGTCTGCTAAAGTTGATCAAGAATCTAAAGGGATGTCAGCACAAGAGATGAAATCTAATATATTAGAGGCAACTCCAGTTGAGACTGAAATTACTAGTAAACAAGATGAAGACTTGAAGGAGAAGCTATTGGAAGAAAATCAAACCAAACAACATTTAGAAAAAGCAGATGTATCATACAAAGAAGAGCCTCAAATAACACATTCCGTAATTTCACAATACACAGATGAAACTAGCCAAGATATGGAAACTGTAGAGGAGACTATATCCAAAACACAAATTTCCATTTCAGACAAAATGGATTCCTCACCAATATTCGTCCCGGAACCTAAAGATGAACCACCAGAATTGAGCCAAGGTCAAGCTTTCCTGTCTGAATCTGAGAAATCAGATTTGTCTTCTAAAGATGATCAGGACCAGAAAAACAAAGAGTTAGTGAAGCTAACTAGCAAACCAGATGAAGAGTCTATAGAATGTCAGACTTATGAAAAAACAGATAAGCTTACTATTTCTAAATCTGCGCTTGATTCTGAAGTGAAGAGTGAACCCCAGCCAATAACACCAGAAAAAGAAGATATGCAAGCTAAAGCGGATGAAATAAGCAAAGGCATATTTGTCAAATCTGAACAACCAGTTGAGTTTGAAGACATTTCCCCAAAACCGTATGAATCTAAAGATAAGTGTGTGGAGGATACTCAACTTCAGATATCTACAGATCAATCAGTATCTGAGAGTGCCGCTGCTAAAAGCGACCAACAGTATGAAGAAAAACACACTGAAGAGACTGTAACTAAAGTACCTCAACCAAGTATGGCAACAGATGTGCCATCTGACACAAAACAAGAACCTAAGGCAATATCTGTGGAAGAAAGGCCAGAACAGATTCCAACAAAATCAAAAACTGTGGATTCAAAATCAGAACACAATACTGTAGACACACTGAAGAAAAGAGATCTTCCCATTGCAGAAGATAAAACAACTGATTCGAAAGTAAGCAAAGAGCCTGAGGAGAAAATAATGATAGAAGATGCATCAAAATTGGTGTCAGTTGACACCAAAATGGACTTGGGAGGCAAACAGAAATCTTTGGTAGAATCTTCAGAACAAATGTTTGAGACCTCAGATCTGAGTTGTGAAGAAAAAGTGGAATTGAAAGATGAACCTAAAGGAGATATCAAACAAGACATATCATTACATGAAACAGATACTTTCTCACCGTCAGACATTGGATTCAAATTAAATTTAGATTATAAAGAAAAATTCATTGAAGAAGCCTCCTCAACTGTGGACAAAACAAAAGACACCAAGTCAACCTTTGAAACTACATTTCAAACCAAATTTTCAGATGAAGATGAAAGCACTGAGGAGGATGAAGGAGATGCTGTTTGTATGGGAGGGGCTGGTTCAAGACCATTATCAGTGGAACTTTGGAAGTCTGAAGAACCAATGGCAAGCAGTTCTGCACAACCACCTGAGACAAGTATGAAAAAAGAGGAAATTGTGGCCCATTTAGATGAAAAAGTGTTGACTAGAGATTCCAGTGGAATATCACCTGAACCAGAGGAGTTTAAGGTAAATACCACATCACTTACACCCTCTACTACAGATACAAGTACTAAAGCTGTCTCAGAGACTCTAACTGAGAGCAAACCAACAAGTATCACACTGCCCAGCTCTGACAGTCAGGCAAGTGAGGATGACCAACATGAAACATTGCTCTCTTCAAAGGAAGCTGCAAAACCTGAGAAGGAGGCTGAGAGGGAAAGGGAAGGAGAACGAGAGGTTACCTCTCCAGGGTTAGAGTTACATTCTGATTTTCAAAAGACTGGCAGTGCAGATGAAAAATGTGCTGAAAAGACTGATAGCGAGAGAATGAAATCTGATGACAAGATGACTTATGAAGTGGAAAAAGAAAGCTTTGAAGCCTCTAAATATGAGCCGTATGAAAAGCCCATTTCAAAAGACACTGAAAGAGGAAGAGAGGAAGAGGACCAGTACCCTAGTCTGGATAGAGATTTAGATGACAATAGAAAAACAAGTCAGGCCACTTTGCTTGGAGCTGCTTGTTCAGTAGAGGAACAAAGTGATGATGAGCCAGTGTCTTTCAGCAAGGTTGATTACCAGACTTCAAGTATTCACAGCAGCCACAGTGCCTACTCAGAGCAAGACAATAAGGAGCAATACCAAGAGGAAGAATTGGTTAGAGAAGAGAGACCAGATCTTTTTGTTGACAATAGTTTTACATATGACAGAAAAGCCACTTCGGCAGCAGGTTCAAGCTTGTTTGCCTCTAGTGATTTGCAAGACAAATCAGAGAAATTGGAGAGAGAAGAGAAGGAGAAAGAGGACACACATTATCCTCTTCAAGGAAAAGATGATGGAAGTCATGTTAAATTGTCAGATAAAGAGCCATGTACATCTGCTTCCAGCCTTTCAAAACCTGATACACAAGAGAAAGACCATAAAAGAGAAGAAACATTGGCAATGCCTCATTCAGAGGACCTGGACACGACCAAAACCCATGTGACTGAAGCTTCCCCTCCACAAGGGATTCTTACATCATCACAGGATAAAAATCTTCAGAGCCTAACAACTTCATCAACGTCTGCTTCCGATGAGAACAAAATGGAGAGTCCAATCTCAAGTGATAGTAACAAAGATAAAAACAAACTGGATTCAGCTAAAAGCCAAGGTGACCCGTTTTCTTCTGGTCGATACTCACCACCTGAAAAGGACATGCTTGCTGCCAGGTTATCACCTGAAGATCCCAGCACCGCCACTCCTGGTTCTTCAGGGCAGTCCATGAAAGTTGATGACAATGTTCTTGCACTTGAGTGCACTGGCAAAACTGATTCTCTTTCCAGCAAGTCATTGATTGTGAGTGCGGAGACTGAGGAATGCTTGGTCAGAAGCCAAAAAATATTTGCAGAAGAAGAGGATGACTATGAGGATGAGGAAGAGGAAGATGCAAGTGACTTGGATATTGAAAAGGGTGCCAGAGAGATGTCTGAGAAAGAGTCCAAAGTAGCATTTGATACCATGACTGCATCTAAACCACTCGAAACAAAACAAGAAGATACTTCTGGTCACTTAGCATCTGGAGCAACTGCAGAAGATCTACAGACAGAAACAATTGGTGATTCATCCTCAAAAAAGTCCCCCACAACAGAGCCTTTATCAGTACCTGGAGAGCACAAGGATGTAATCAGCATGGAGGATGAACAGTCCAAGAAACAAGATACTAGTTCAGTCCAATATGACATACCCAAACCCAGCGATGACAAACATGAACCACAAAAGACATCTGATAAAAAGCCTGAAGTGACTGAATCCCTAGCTGTTGCTCAAGCAGCAATGTCTGATGCAACTTACTCATCATCTTCATCCTTTAGTTACTCTTCTTCAACATCTGCCTCATATTCAACGGGTCAACACCTTGGAGAATGCCTAGAAACACTGATTAATATTCCTAGTGTCCAACTAAGATCAGATGGAGACAGTATATCATATGAGTACTCATCGTTAAAAGAGGAAGAGTCGCCCATTATGGATTTACCATGTTTAAAAAAAGACGAATACATGGAAGTCTCAGAGCGAATAACACCTGCTACAACAACATCTGAATCAATATCTAGTCTTGCCAGGTTTTCTCCTCTCAGTCCCTTGGAGGAATCCAAATCGTTTCTTCAAGATCAAACATCATCAGCAGAGGAAAAGTCAGAGGAGGATATGTCAAGCATTAAATCTGACAGGGATCATGTCTCTCATCCTAAACATGTAACAGAGGCACATTCCTCAAAATCACCAGAATCAGCAACTTCTGAGCATGCAACTCA